ATCGTGTTTGAACAGCTCTTGACGTACCCCTGAGGGGTGATTTGCCTTGGTCTCTTGCATAAGTCTTGGAGCTTTCCCAAGAATCGGATTGGCAACAGGTTAGCATCGTCATCATCAACGGTAACTTTGAAGCATGGCGCTTGTATAGCTACCTATTGTGCCGCCGATTTTGAGTCATCGCGGCTAACAGCCATCAGGGGATCCTTCCGCAGTGCCACACCGAGTGTGGCACAGCGCTACCTCCTTCGAAGTTTGCAATCCATGACACAAAAATAGCCAGCCATTTCATTACCAGACCAATTACGCTGAATTTTGGCCCCCAGATGGAAGACGCAGTGCTGACACCGAATACCTCAGAGGGGTGGGTCGCCGCCCTCAAGTTAGGCCAACATCACCATCCCGGGTCCACGTGCAGTGGCCTGAAACATCGTGAATACGTGTCTTCTAAAGAATATACGATAACATCCGATAGTTTAGAGAAGCAAAGATTTGTCAAGGGAACGATGGGTACCTGTCGACAGCACCATCGCTACCATCTTTCGCCCCTTCTTTCCACCTCTCCCGCTTGCCCAGAGCGCAGGTCTCAATTCAGGGCCAACAAAGGCAGATTGCCGCCTCTTCTAAATATGGGCTCGTTGCCCTGCATTGCAGTATGAGACTCATTGTCCAGTCAGCGGCTTCTGACTTCAAGATATCGATGTGTACATGTCTGCTACGAATCAACAACGCAGCGTTTTCATCGAGGGCATGCTACTGGGCATCTGATGTGTCAAGAGAAACGGCATCTGCGCCCCAGGATTACGTTCTAGGCACCCACAACCTGCCGTGAAACCTGCTGCTCTGACAGTCCGATGTCCAGCTCCCAATCCCAACTCCCAACCTGCTGCGCCTATTCCTGGTCGAGGCAGTTGGGGTTACACCGCCTCCCGTGGGACAGATCACCCCATTGTGTGCTTATTTGCGCATCAGGTCACAGAGAGCCATATATCCAAGGGCCCGACATGGGATGACGTTGGATGTTGACAATGCCACGCAAAGAAACCTGACTTCTCGCTGTTTCAAGTCAGTTGGAGGAAGCATGGCTGCTGCCGGGCACATCCAGTTTCTATTCGGAACTACCAAATGAAGGGGGGTCGGAGGTTGTTGTCGTCGGTTCTCCATTCGATAACCGGACGTGCTGTGCAGCAATGTCGCCTCGGCTTCTCACAGCCGCCACTGTCATTTGGGGAACATCTTCACACAGATGATATGTGGGTGTCGGGTCGAACCGTAGTAGCGAGATGTCCTAGGGCCTGTCGAACACACGCTCTCTTCTCCCGGGCACAACACGCGGTCTGTTGATAACGTCGTGTCCTGTCCCAAGTTTCTACATACGACCATACCCATTGGAGAACTCGGGATCCCGTTCGCTCTCCCATCGATAAACCAGTGAGAGCCAGACTAGTAGTTGGGTCGCTGACGACCAGCGAATCCCTGGTGTTGTATGTTTCCCTTTTTGCCATTTATTCTTCCGTGAAGAGAGCGGGTAAGCTGTGGATGCAAAATGGCCCCCGGCGTCGAGACGACAAGGTATGAAGTTGGCTGGGGAGCCAAGCGCCCCACAATACCAAGGCGAAAGTCGGATGCTGAACTGGGGATCGCAAGGATCAAGATATGAGCCAATGATATGTGACCCTGCCATAGCTCAGAAGTTTCCGTAACCTCTCGAATTCGTTCCTGCCGATACACCAACATGAGAATTGAATGGTGGAGCCACGCGAGGAAGTGCCAAGAGGCTGAGGACAAAAAAACCCGGACACCAAAAGGTTCCAACGTTCTTTGAAGGCCACATCAGATGTGCAAAACCCCACGAAAAATACAAGCGACGCTAAGCATTGACTTAAGTCTTCGTTCAAAGTTTCTAGCAGGTTGGAGCAATGTTTGTGATGCTGTTGTGGCAGTAGTTTTCGCCTCGACATTATTTCTGGCCGGGGTTGGGGTTTTTGGTGTCAGTGTTTTTTTGTCATGATGGAGCCAAGGTTGCGGCTCGTGCAACGGTCTTTGGCTTCCAAGTGCGACCCTGGAAGAAATAGCCAATAGCAGGCTAGGGATTTCGCCAATCTCGATAAGAAAGCCATGCGGTGCCCCGCAGTGCAGCCCCTCCTAAAATTTTCCCCTCCATGTGGTGGCATTGAGTCGTTGCAGATTATCCGGCAAGATTTGTGGCCAGAAATGGCTCCAAAACTTCGTTCCCGATCGCCACCGCCTTTTACTCCTCGGGCTTTTGATTTCGTGACGATGGCCTGCGATTCCTGAGTGGCCGTGAGCACCTCTTCTTAGTTGTTCACTTACATGCCTTCCCGTACCATACCCCCGGTAGCCTCAACGTCTCCACGCTTGCACGAAGCGATCTCGGCCGTTGGCTTGGCGCGCCTGCTGTGAACTGAGCGTCTCCGCAAAGTCCTCTCACCATCCGATCCCTGGGTACCCAAGCCCGTCTAGAATAATTTGATCGTTGCCAGACGAGTGTGTTTGTCAATTTTCGACTTCCCGTATCCGGCTGCCTCGACACCAACCGACAAAATGTGCGGCATTCTTGGGCTGATACTCGCCGACACCGACTCCGGCAATGCCGATGCCTCGGTTGACTTACACGAGAGTCTGTACTACCTCCAGCACCGTGGCCAAGATGCTTGCGGTATAGCTACTTGCGCTGCTGGCGGAAGAGTATTCCAGTGCAAAGGAAACGGCATGGCCTCCAAGGTCTTTGAGGATGGAAAGCGGGTCAACGATCTTCCTGGGTACATGGGCATCGCACATCTTCGATATCCCACTGCGGGTACGAGCTCGGTACGCTTCCGCCCTTCGCCCTTCGCCCTTCGCCCTATGTCATGTCTCCCCTCCTCCTGTGAGCTGGAGCTAACCAATTGGCCTGCTAGAGCGCTGAAAGCCAGCCATTCTATGTCAACTCGCCCTACGGAATCTGCTTTGCGCACAATGGAAATCTCATCAACGCTCCCGAACTGCGCAGCTACCTCGACAAGGAGGCCCATCGCCACGTGAACACGGATTCGGACAGCGAGCTGATGCTCAACATCTTCGCCAACGCTCTCAATGAGACTGGAAAGGCCCGTGTCAATGTCGATGACATTTTCAGCGCCGTGTCGCAGACATACGAGAAGTGCAAGGGCGCATGGGCTGGAGCGCTCATGGTTGCTGGCTTCGGCATCGGAGCCTTCCGCGACCAGAGCGGTATTAGACCCCTCGTTATGGGAAGCCGCCCGTCGGCAACGTTGGAGGGGGGTGTCGACTACATGTTTGCGTCCGAGAGTATTGCTCTCCGCCAACTGGGCTTCAAGAACTTCCAGGATATCCTCCCCGGACAGGCAGTTTTCATCCAAAAAGGCGGAAAGCCAGAGTTCCGTCAGGTCGCTGAGAGGCAAAACTATGCCCCTGACATTTTCGAGTATGTCTACTTTGCTCGACCCGACACGGTGATGGATGGCATTTCGATCAACCGCAGTCGTCAGAATATGGGCGCCAAGCTCGCGGACAAGATCAAGGAAATTCTTGGCGAGGAAGGAATCAAGGAGATCGATGTTATCATCCCGGTCCCCGAGACCAGCAACACAGCCGCGGCCGTTGTCTCCGAGAGGCTAGGAAAGCCTTTTTCGAACGGCTTTGTCAAGAACCGCTATGTATACCGGACATTCATCCTGCCAGGCCAGAAAGCCCGGCAAAAGAGTGTACGGCGGAAGCTAAGCGCCATGGAGTCCGAGTTCAACGGCCGCGTTGTGTGCCTGGTCGACGACTCCATTGTTCGCGGTACCACCAGCAGGGAGATTGTGAGCATGGCGCGGGAAGCTGGCGCTCGCAAAGTCATCTTTGCTTCATGCGCGCCACCCATCAAGCACCCCCATATCGTGAGTTTGTGTCCCATCAAAGCCTGTCGGATCGTTGTTGACCTTAGATAACAGTACGGAATCGACCTCGCCAGTCCGCAAGAGTTGATCGCCCATGAGAAGACAAGACAGGATATTGCCAAGCACATCAACGCCGACGATGTCATCTACCAAGATCTCGACGCCCTTAAGGCGGCATGCGCCGAAGCGTCGCCCAACTCCGAGATCAAGGACTTTGAGGTCGGTGTGTTTTGCGGTTCTTACAAGACCGAAGTTCCTGAGGGTTACTTTGAGCACCTGAACGAGAGCCGAGGAAAGAAGCGCAAAATTGCCGGTGGTGAAGAAGGCACCTCGGCCTTGGTGGGGAATAGTGGTCCCGTTGGCGTCTCCGGGCCAGGTGAGGGAGTGAAGCTGGAATTGAGAGTGACTGAAGAAGCCGTTGCGAACAGCGGGCTCAGGAGTCCAGAGAATCGCGAAGACATCAGGTAAGCCATAGCAAAGTCTATTTGGCCCTGACGTTCAATTATACTAAGACGATCATATACAGCATCCACAATTTGGCATCCAACAATGGAAACCATTAGAGAAAGTCTAGACGCTTTTAGATGACCTGGTTTAGGTCAATGGGAGGCAGCGAGTTTATTGGTCGTTTTCCCAGTGTCTCAGCGAGCTTGCACCTCCACCCATCATCAGTTGAGACACTGCTTATTTCTAGAAGTTAGCATTCGCATTACCGGTAGACTTGCTAGATCCATATCGGGCAGATATATAACACCAGGCATCCCGGTAATTGAGACCCAGCGTTTCTGAGCATTCATCCCTTACCTTCTATCAAGATAATCCGATGTCGATGGCGGAGGTGCCGCGGGTGTATGTATTGCGTTCCCTACGAGACAGCATGCCGGCCAAGCTCAGTTGCATGAAGCCGCTTGCAAAAGAATAAACAGTCAACTCAACTACATGACTGACATCCTGGCACCTTTCCCACCCGCCATGCTGTAGCACACAGCACAACTATCCTCGTCATACCCCATTCACCCCCCCCCCCCCCCCCCCCCCCCGCGCATCCACAAAAGGTGATTCCCTTCCCTATCCTCAACATAAAAAAAAATACCTCAAGCTTGATTAGCTCAGCTGGTTAGAGCGTCGTACTAATACAGAAGTCTCCTCTGTATCCTGTAATGCGAAGGCCAACAGTTCAATCCTGTTATCGAGCAAGCTAAGGCACTTCAATGTGATGGTGATCCATCACGCTTCCTCTTTTTTCTTTCAATGAGAATTGCAGTGTGCTCTTTTTTGGGGCACCCTCCGGTCAAGCGTTTTGTTCAGTTATCTATCTATTATGATGGCCTCCATTTACCTGCCCAGGCAGGTCAGAGTCATGTGGTTCCAGAGGGGGTGCGAAGCGGCCTGACATATTCCTCGCTTTGCGAATTGATAGCAGAGTGGATGGTATCATCGTGAGCTTAGGGGGAGATTAGGCAACCAATTTAAATTCATTATACGTATTAGGTATGCGTGATGCGCCAGATACACGGTGGACAGAAGCTCCGGGAACAGGTTTGGTTAAGCTTGGTTGATGATTCGTATTTGCCCGCGTGAACACCATGGAACAGACATGATAGCCGGGGGCATTATCTACCAAATTTAGACACAGAAATAATGGATATATCTACCCGGTATAATATAGAAATCAAGCAAAATGCCATCGAGAGCTGATATCAAATACGCCCTCCTAACCCCCCCCTATTATGTCGACCCAACCGTATCATACACCAAGCGAAAGATCAAAGGGCCAAGTACGCCAAAATATAGGACCTCAAGCAAGTGATTCATCCTTATCCTTCACTTCTTCTGCCACTGGCTGGATCTCCTTGGCCGCCTCGGCCTGGACCAGTGTTTTCCGGATCTCCTCCTGGTCCAACTTCCGGAACTGCAGCCAAAACATGGTTCCGCCAACAAACGCCAAGATTGCCGGAACAGCAAAGTTCCAGACGAGCAGCGGGTCTGAGGCGAGAGGAACGAGACCAAATCCGATGGCCGACGCAATAGCGTTCATGAACAAGCACACAGCCTGGACCATGGATCTCGCGCTCTTAGGAGCCTTCTTGTGCGCATACTCCAGGGAAGTGATCGAAGCCAAAACCTCGGAAAGGGCGAGCAGCACGTACGATCCGGTTTGTGCCCAGACGCTGATGTCGACATTCTTGCATCGGATCGTCTCCTCCGCATCGATATAGCCGGACGCGTGGTTACCACACTCGCTACGCTGGTAGATGTAGTACTGCACAACGCAGGCCCAAATCATGGAGGATCCAGCCACGAAGTACCCCAGTGCAATGCGCTTGAGAGGCGTCAGATTGATGCCAATCTTCCGTAGACCGGGATAGACGACCACGTCCATGATCGGGATGAGGATAATCAGAGAGAACGGGTTGAGGTTAGTCAAGACATCGTTGGGAACACCACCAAGTCTCATGGTTGCGGCTTGGGAGATCAGGTTGTTGTTGACTAGCGGGGGCAGTCAGCATCCGTTTGAGGAAACATGGAACGGGCGCAACATACTTTGGTTATAGCAGAGCCAGTAAAGGGGGTACCACAGGAAGACCGCGCAAGCAGAGAAGCCGCCAGCGATTTCGTCAACCCCTAGAGACGGGGAGTTAGCAACTAGGATAACAATCGCAGTGCAGGGGAAAGTTCAAAACTCACAGCCGTCATTGAAGTCCATCCACTTCGGCCTATTGGCAGGGCCGAGTTTCGAAGGCTTGACGTTCTCCCAAAAGTCGTCGCTGCGCATATTCTTGAAAGTCTGGATGGGGTTAATGGACCACCGCCCCTTGGTGGCTAGTCCAAGAGTCTTGAATGCCTTCCCGAGAATAGAACCCTCCGGAGGCACACGTTTATAGCGTTTGCGACCCCAGAGCAGGACTAGGGGGCAGAAGCAAAGCATGATAGTAGGCAGCGTGTACGAAAGCCAGAAGCCGACATAATACTCGCAGTAGACCATCGAGATCTGGCCGATCAACGCACCAATGTTGATGAACATGTAGAAGTAATGATAAACTCGACTGGCCGTGAGGTGGGGGTCAACGATGACGCGCTCGCCGCCGGGAAGTGTCCTGATGATCATATGCTCGAGATCAAGTTGTTCCACAATTAGAGGGTTGATATTGGGTTTGAAACCACCAGTGCCGGGCCCATGGTGATGATTCCGATAATGAACGCACCCATGGCGCCATCAGGGTTCTTGATGACCGGGGGCAGGGCGGAAGTAATCAAGACAATGTGACCGATGAGGTCAATGCCGAGAGCAAGAGCGATGGTTTTGAAGCGTCCAAGATAGCTGTCGGCAACCCAGGCACCGAACAATGGCATACAGTAAGCCCAGAAGGCGTTGAACGTCGTCAATGCGGTGGAGGTCCGTTGACCAAGACCGAGCGCACCGGCCTGCCCGTTACCGAAATCCGCACCCGTGGTCGACCCCGGGGGTAGCGGCCCTGGAATGTGTTAATCGAAAAAAAGAAGGTCGAAAGGGAATGAGATTTTACTGCTTACACTGAATGAAGTTGGTGAAGACAGCCGTTGTTCCATAATAGGAGAAGCGCTCGCACAGCTCGATGAAGGCAATGGTGTAGATGCTGAAGGGAATCTCGTCGGGGACGCGGCGGAGCGTCTTCAGCTCCTCCCCGGTCGGGAACTCGCCATGGGTGGCAATGCCAACGGCGTAGTCTTCGCTTCTTCCAACGGAAGCCACCTCGAGGCCTGTCTTCTCGTTGCCGAGGGGCGCGACGTCAACGACGGGGCCGGAAGAAGACTTGATCGACATGACGGAGACAGCCCGGTGGCCACAGGAACCCGTTTGCCAGATGGAGGTGTTCGTCTGAAGCTGTCGGGGGGGAGGTGTCGCGGGGAAGCACAGTCATATAAATACGACCGACACATGTAGCACCGCGTGCGGTAACGGCGCCCATGTGTCAACCCATACCCCGCAAACTCGCAGGAATGTTGGAGATTCCCTCATTACCATGTGCCCGGGAAGGCAGGTGGTTCGAACCAAGCATTGCGGCGAGCAGCACCTGGGCCAATGAGCGGCGAGATGAATCCGGACAGCTTGCATCGCCGTTCCCACCAAAGCGTGCGCACCCAGAACGGGGATATCCCGCCGCTCAGGATCTGGGTGCTTCCGAGGACTCGCCACGGCCATCGCCGTCTCGGGTCACCCCGGTGACTTGCGATTGTTGAGCCTATCAGCATTCCGGCTCGGTGAGGATGGTATGCATATGGGTGATCCCCGGTGTGAGAGAAAGGTTTTCCCGCCTCTGGCTCTTGCGGTCCGTTGCCCTTCTTGATCGGGGAGCAGGAGATCGGGAGTTGCCAACAACGAAGCTAACGGTGCCTGGGGCTATCCTGGACATGCATTAGCAGCGTTGCAGAGATCGCTCTCCATCATGGTCTTGGCATCTAAAGTTCCGCATGGCCGCTTGGAATGCTGAGTCGTGCGACAAAGGTGCACCATGTCTTGCTCATCACCCGACGGCTCACCAGACCTGAAAACACCTTCCGTGCACCTTTTGGGGCCTCTCTTCGTCTTCTTCCTCACTCGCCTGTCTGACGAATTCAAGAAAACGGGCGTGGCCAGGGAGACAAACTTGTTGTTCACGAGTATGCCTCTCAGCTGGAAACTGGAGTGGGCAGCTCGAGCGTGGAACGGAAGCGCGAGTGCAACCGCGTTGTGGAGAAGTTGAGCCGTGTGCGCCCCACAGCCCAGAATGGACACCACTGCATCGAAAATCCAGTGTAAAAGCGAGGGCTGGAAAAACGGGCCAAGCAAGCTGTAGAGCAGAGTGTATTTCCTCCCGATTCTGTGGTGAGCTAGAGGCTGAGCGAGGGCGTGCAAACACAAGCGAATCTACTAGAGACAGGGACGCGGCTGGCAAAAAAAGGGGTAAGAAAACAAAATATGCCAAGACAACCCTAACCCTTCTTTGCTCCTCTGTCCAAAGGCCGGGATGATGATATCACTCCACGAGAGTCATTCAGCTCTACCAATGCGCTTCACCATGTTGATCCATGCCCTATGGACACCCGAAAAACGCTCCACACTGTTAATAACACCAGAGAGACCCCACCAACACATCGGGCCATTTCCCCTCTGGGTGTCTCTGAGCAGCTGGGTATATGTATCTTGCTCTTCAGAAGGCAGATTCCCCTTATCGACTCCAGACACGGGGTCATTGAGGCTGCTCAGATAATTTTATTGCAGTCTTGGAGAAATTGCATCATCCCCTCGCATGACGCAGGTGTGCAGTATGTGCCCGCATGAATTCAGCTTTTAAATATAGTTACCCACAAACTGTTTCCTGTCCTATCCTCCGCACCCACACCTTAGCCCTACTCGGTGAAAATCGGATGAATTTCCTCCAATTTGTTCTCTTTCCATTCTAAGCCCCGACGACCCACCTTGTTCCAGTATCTGCCCTGACGCAGGATCTCTTGTTCCTGGCGACCCCCCTTCAGTGGTTCTCGAACATGACTAGAGCAATAGATGAGAAACCCGCAACATCCACAAGAAGAGCGGGGATATAACGTGTTGGGTGAGGAGAATCAACGTTGACCTGCCCCATGAGGAACTCCGACCGACATTCCATTTCCGTGACGATCGCTTCCCACTCTGATCAGCAAGAGGTCTAGATCAAAATACAAGCCGTGGCAATTGTCTGTAACCGGTGGCAAATCGCCCATTTAAGTAGCAGATGCGGTCCAGGTGGATGTCAATGACAAATCGCCGCGGTACTCGGACGCTACCATAGATGGCTCGGATGAGTCGATAGAAAGATGGGAAGTACTGGCCCCATGGAAGAAACCGAGGCACAGCGTTCTCGCATGAGGATAGAGCCGTTGCTGCAGTGATCTAAGTTATTGAACCCGTCGATGCTAACAGCAACTGGGATACACTGGTCAACTCTCATCGTACGCGAAAACTGGGCGTGATGGTCACGAAGAAGATTTTACCTGTTATCCGTGCGTGTATCGTGTTGCTGGTATCCCGCACCGACTGTAGAGTGCACATGCTCTTGAGTAGAGGATCTGGTTGGTTCAATATACATCAGTGGTATGTCGCCCGCACGCATTGCCGCGGGAGAAGCCAGGACGCGATCTGAGAGGCATCGGATCAGGCTTGAGCCATGAATACCACCTTACAAAACCGTCAGCATGA